CAAATATTACTGACAAAACTTTGTGTCTCATTTCAAATATTACTGACAAAACTTTGTGTCTCATTTCAAATATTACTGATGAAACTTTGTTGAATGGACAACAACTGTCTGTTGTAAAATCACAAGTGAAGAGGATGACGTTTTGAAAAAAAAGAACTATTACTGATATTTATCGAGCCTTTAGCGTGGGTAACTGGCAAGATAATTTTTAACAGCCCATAACTTTGTGCCAGTCATCTCATCCCGTAACTCGGTTGTCATGTGTGCATTACCATTACACAAATACAACTGAACAGCCTTGATGCCTGTGTTAAAAAAAATAAAAAAAAAGTAGCACATTATATTACTTGTTATAGTTTATTCTCTGGTCTAGTATTACAAAACGGTTGTTTTCACTATTCCTTACTTTTTTTGCTATACGTCGGAAACTAATTTATAAATTGTATATCAGTTTTGTTGCATAGTGTTCATGCTCACATATAGTAAAATAAAAGTTGACCCGAGTACTGATGAAATTTGTATGGAAGCCATTTTGTGAGCTACTTTCTGAAATTGGTCTCAGTTGTTACCCAAAGAAAAATCATATTTGATGTAACATTTAGATATTTTTATTACTTAGAATTCAGAAACTGAAATTTACTTTGGCCTTAAAAAAGAAGAGTACTAATATGATACAGGTATAACTAAAACGTTCTTTATATTTCTTTTTTTTTGTAAGTATATTGTTTGTTTAAGATTTGCTTCTTTTAACTAACGTGTTACCTAATACTTTCTTTTTTTTCAGTATCACAGAGTTAGAGCAGTTTTAATGTTGATAAGCTCTAAATATTTTTTGTTATTTTTCATCAAGTAAACCAAAGATCTTTGAGTATTTTTTTCCCTCCCCTTTACATATAGATGCAAGTTCTATTTGTAAATGGAAATCCTTTGTGTCAGTCAACTTGGGTTGGTTGTTGTCAAACAAGATTGAAATCATGTTCCAGAAGGCACCAAGAAGGTTCTCTGTTGACGAATACGAAATAACTCTGAGAAAATTGAACAGCATTTCTGAACCATACAGCTCAACCGTAGAGTCCTTAAAGCATAGTAGAGATATGCTAGTGACATTTGAAAATGTGGCGTCTGGAAGTTACTTTGTTACGGTTAGACCCTTGTCAACTGAATGGAAATCGTCTTGTGGTGTTGCTCGTTCTGCAACCCTCGTCGTTCCCGTACCAGGTATTTTCTAATCTTCTTGTGTGGGTAAAAGTGTAGTGCAAGTTTTTTTTTCTTAATTGCTAATTATGTTTTCTTGTTTGAAAAAATGTTAATATGTGAAAAAAAAGATGAAAATATGTTACACTGTGTTCCAAAGTACTAGTTTATATGTTTAGTTTCAAATTTTGCTTTTCATCGTAAATGCAAACCATTTTATTATTCAAAAGTGGCAAGAGAAATGTAATGGTGTGAAATTAGTGCCTAAAATTACATCAGTAGGGAAAGGGTTAGAACCACACACCTTTTCTGTCATAATTTCATTCAGTATTTTTAGCAAGAAAAAAGGAAGGTGGAGAACAAAAGAAAAGATTGTTTTTTTTTAATCTTTAGTTGAAGTAGGATATGTTCAAATTTGATGACGAGGAACCCACTTTGAGACTAATAATGGCGGAGACGGCTTGAATGGTTAATGAATGTTATGTTAAACTTGTATTAAAGTTTTTCTTCATTACCCATTCAACCCGTCTCCAGCCATTATTAGGATATGTTCGTCCACAAAAGTAAAGGCAGAGATGTGTATCCTGGAATGACAAAAGCAGTGTTTAACATTGTTGTGTGTTCATTGTAGAAACTGTAATATTTATATAAATCGTATATTGTGTCCTTATGAAGTGCAAATGACATACATTTTTTTTTATCTGCTTGTGATCTGAAAATAACATTTCAGACGGCAAAACAGTGTGCTTTTCTTCTGTTGGTCTTCAGGTCTAGTCAGACTTCACCAAAAACAGTATTCATGGATTGGATAAAAACGAAAAACATACTGGAAATAGCTTATTAATATGTAGGCCTACCTTTGGCTGCTTCAGTTCTGTGTTGAAAGGTACCTGCAAGTTCCTGAAAGGTTATGTTGAGGAATTAGGTATCAATCCTTGAGGAAAATATTTGTCGTTCACGCTCGATGGCCTTCCGATCGCCGTTTACATTTAACTTTTGAGATTTTTCTGGATAACCATCTTGATTTTGTAATATTTGAGCCACCTAACAGTCGGGCTCCTACTGTCTGTCTTCTTTGAAAGCTGCACTTTCTTTCCGTGTTGATTGACAGCTCATATGAAATAGTTTACATATATGTAAATAATGCTGATCATCTGTCGTAAGATGTCATTAGAATAGCATATTAATCAGTCTGGAGAAGAATGGGTACATTTTTAAATGAGTGTTTCTAACTTTTTGTACAGCCCCTGTATAACTATGCTATATCTAATTTAACACTATAGTTTCAGTAGTTTTGGTTTTCATTAGTACAGTTTGGTAAATGATCTGAAAAGTTAGATATATTATGAAGATTTGAGACAGCTATTTGTGTAATAAAAAATTTATTTCACAACTAGCTGTGTCAACACTTCATATTGTTTGTAAGTTAAGTAGGCATCTCTTAACCATCTCCACACAGGTCAAAGGTCATGTCATCACGTTTATTGACATGCATTCAAAATTTTATTCAACTCCTATTTTATGTCAATAAATTTGGTATAAAACTGTAGATTATAATTCAAATTTTAGTATTATACATTATTTAATATCTTAATATTAAAAGTAAATGAAAAAAACACATACCTAAACATTGATTTTTGTGTGTCACATGGTATGTTGAATGCAGCACTGGTTCAAATTAAATGTTTGTGATGTCCAAGTACAAAGTCTATAGTTTCTTATGAATTAGGAACTGAAATTACCAATATTGACATGCTAAAATGTAAAATAAGAACCTCCAATGTTTTTTATTTGCCGAGATATCGCTCGTGTATTGAATCACACACAGTGACCCTGCCCACATTATTCCATTTTTGGAAATACTTCCTTATATACACTTACTTCTGTCTATGACACGTAAATAACCAATCAAAACCTCAGAATGTCCCTCTAGTGGCTTTTGCGGCCATTTTGAAGTATTATGATGTCAACTCATTCTTTTGATACAAGATTTCAAGCTGGTAAGTTGAGTCTTCAGCCTGCTTGAAATTTTATTTTTTAGACCTAAATATAGCTTAGTTACTAAGCTTGATAAATTATAGTGGAATTCTATTGTATCAGTATAGTAATTTATGATTTTTTGGTTATTTTAAATTTATACATAAAACTTAAAAAAGTTATTTTGTTTCACATCCTCCACGTGCGAAATTGTGTAAGGCTTAGCAACCTACATCAAGCAGCAAATGAGTACAGAGGTCGTAACTAGAAGAGATAATTGTTTGCTGTACTTCTATATTTACTGTTTGAAGAAAATAAGTTTAAGAACTTATTTGTAAATAGTAATAATGTATATACATATATAATGTATTTAACTGATATATGACTGTATTTTACAAAATACTACTCTACTAAAACACAGACAAGACAG